ACTCTTAAAATTTTGAGGACATTTTCTGAAATTTCACCATTCTTTAAAAATATTGGTGAAAGGGTTGCCATGGGGAACATAAGACAATGAAGAGGGTGAAAACAGTTCCATAATTAAAATACTGTCCCTAAAGATAAAATTTGACAATGTTAAGGAGAACCTCAGACGACAAAAGAATTCCCCTTAAAATATGTTTTAAATGTAGTAGTAGTATCCGACGACAAACAATCAAGAAAAACTAAACTGGAACAACTCTCTCGACACGAAATGTTCAGTGTATCATACAAACGTTTAAATACATGCCTCTGATCCAAGGGCGTCGATCAGTGGCTGAAAATAGGGGAACGAGATGAAAAATAAAGCCTTGGGCCGTAGGCACAAGCAATGGTTGTGAACAAGGGGGCGAAGCCCCGGAAGCTCTGGCGCATATAGCCTTTTAATTGATTTTAAGCAATGCAATTAACACGTATTTCCATACGAAATTTTTAAAATATCCAGTGGCGGATCCAGTAATTTGAAATAGAGCTGGCCCAAAAAGAGGAACTTTTACAGATGGAGAGTGTAGCTGGACTACCACCTCAGCCCCACCATGATTGGGGCTGAGGTAAGAACATTTATGATTATGACACCTCTAGATTGCCGGAAATGGCACTCTCAGACCTAAATTCTAATTCTAATTTTCCTTTGTTTTTTCTTTTTCCATTCTTAAAAAATAATTTTGAAAAAATTAGGGCAGGCTCGGCCCCACTTGAATCTGCCACTGATTATTATGCCGTCATTGCGAGACTGCGTCAACGTAACACTGGAGTTTGTAAACTTTTGGTAGGCTTATCACTAAATCGAAATAGGTAGACATCATATCCGTGAAATTAGAAATAAACAGTAATCCTATGTATATAGATAATATTAAACACTAGTATATACGTACGGGTCATAATAATACACAAAAAGAAAAAAAATAAATCGTTTATATTAGAAATTGTGCACTTTTGAGTTTGTAAAAATATTTGCCTAATAAGGATACATGCTTCCAATTTCAACAACGTTCAGTACATTGTTTTCACAATAAATTTAGCCTCTGATAGTCGTTGCACCCATAAAATCGATTTAGTGGGTTTTTTAGATGGTTACAAAATGTTTAAACAATTGCGTTTTTACTTGGTTTTGGTCCGGAAAAAAATTCATGAGTCATGCGTAATTGTTATTTAATTATTTAATTTACCTGACCTATTTCAAGAGATGAAAACCTTGAATTTTGAAGAGCTTTAAAAGTCATTAAAAGACATTTCAGAAGTCAGGAAAGTTCATCTCTCGCCATCTAGAAATCGAAATTTTTATGGGGGAACCCGGACCCCCTTTATTTTTGGAGTTCATTGATTAATTGAATCATTTTCAAGGGGGGGGGGGACCTTGAATTTTGAAGAATTTAAAAATCATTAAAAGACACCACAGAAGTCGGGAAAGCTCATTTCCCGCCACCTAGGAATCAAAATTTTCCTGGGGAAGAACACCACAGGACCCCCTCCACTTTCTTTTTGGGATTTATCGATTCATGGAAAAAACTACGTATGCAACTTACTCAATCCTTTTTAATATATGTGGAAAACCTTTAATTTTGAAGAACTTAATTACTTTTTAAGTTCTTCAAAATTCAAGGTGTTCCCCACTGAAAATTATTATAATGAATCAATGAACCCAGAGAAAGGGAGGTTCGAGTTCTTCCCGGGAAAATGTATAATGAACAGATATCACAATACCCCGGCCTGCAACCCCTTCTCCACTTCAAAAACTGTCCATATCGCATTTGATCTAAGCCGCCAGGTATTCTCCGCAGTGGCGTAGGTAACCACCGGGGGACAAGGGGAAAATATCCATCTGTGGAAAATCTTTCCCCATTGAATTTTAAAAAACAATCTGTTTTCGCGCGCTACGCGCGCATTTTTTAATGTTAGAGCTTGTGCTTGCTCTCCTTTGCCTTCTAAGTTATAACACATAGTCCTAAACTCAAGAAAGAAAATTTAAGATAGATCGTTTTACCTAAATAAAGGGCCTCAATGCGTAATGATGTTGAAGGAATATGTTTGCAATAAAGCCATAAGGAAAATGCTTATATTTAGTTTAAAAAACGACTGTGGCCATATATAACATAAGAGCATTTCTTGTTGAGGTAGGCCAATTTCCTCTAAAAATTGCACATTTTAAGGAGTTTTGATCAATTCCGACGAAATTAGAATTAAAAAAACAAAAATGTTCGCGCATTTTTTGATGTTAGCGTAACAATGAGATATATTCATACGCCGCCCAACACCCCAAATGGTTATGGTACCTATATATATATTTTCAGTTTACAACAACCCATCCTGATCCAACATATTCGCCCTCGAATGTGTTACCACTAAGAAATCATTATGTAGGTAGAGAACAATCACCAACAACTTCAAGAAAACATTACACTAACTAACACTAAAATTCAATAATCAATAAACTACATCAATAAATAATAATGCTGTACTAATAAGGTAAAACACACAATTACTGTTTAAGAACAGATTTCGGCCACTTTGCAGGATTATGATATACTCCTTTATTTAGACGGGCTGAACGTCTCACTTTGTTATCGTTATGCTCACTAACCGTATTCAACTGGAACTTTAATTCTTAAATGACTCAGCTTCATCATCTGACGAGTCCTCACTGCTCACTGAAGGTTTCTCGTTCATGTTGTCACCCATTTGTGGAGCAGGCAATGGCCACTCTTCTGGTTCCTCATTACAAATTTTCAGTCGAGGATCAAGGATGATTAATTTCCGATTCACTGTTTTTGACTTTCTACCTAAAACAGGTATTATAGTGTATACATCCTGATCAGCATTCACCTCCTCTATTACATATTGGTCTCGGTGGTATTTATCAACAAGTTTGTGTCTCCCAGTAAACGCAGTTTGCTTTAGCAATACTCGCTTCCCGACTTCCAATGGTTTGACCTGCACCCGTCTATCATGTAGACGTTTATCATTCTCCCTTGTTTTCTTGATCTGGCTCTCAGCAATGGTCATAGCTTTCTTTAAAGCATCTGCTTGATTCTGCACATAATCATTATCCCAATCTTTACAGGCTCTGTTGAGTAGCTGATCTAAAGGAATACTTGGCTCACGGCCGTACATCAATTTATAAGGGGAAAACCCAGTAGCACGATGTGGTGGAATTGTACATATATACCAAGTGATTTAGCAGCTCCGGCCAGTGTCTTCTCTCATTTGGTTCCAATGATCTGATCATTGTACAAAAAGTGGAATTAAATCTTTCGACTTGACCGTTCCCCTGTGGGTGATAAGGGGATGTTCTTGTCTTTTGTATCCCATAGAGATTACACATCTCTCTAATCAAGTGACCTTCAAAATCCCTCCCTTGATCCGAATGGATTCTCAAGGGTATCCCATAGTGACAAAACCAACAATCTCGCAATACCTTTGCCACAGTACAGGCGGTCTGATCCTTGCAGGCAACAGCTTGTGAATATTTAGTGAATACGTCTGTCATCACTAAGATGTCTTCGTAATTTCCTCGTCCCTTATCCATTTTCAAGAAATCTATCGCTAGTACTTCCTGAGGTCGAAATGCAATCAGATGATGCATTGGAGTTTTTATATTTGGTCTAGGCTCCTTAACAACTTTACAATTGATGCATGTGTTAATATATAGTCGCACCTGTTGATTCATCCCAGGCCAGAAACATCTTGCTCTGAGTAAACTTAAGGATCTATCAATGCCCTGGTGTCCCCAGTTGTCGTGAACAGCTTTTAGTATGGTTTTTCTTAAGATTTCTGGGACTAGCAGCTGCTGTGTCGTTCCTTCCTTTCGATCCATTTCTCGATACAATACACCATTTCTCTTCACAAAATGGGACCATTCATGTAACGAGCTCTTTACTTGGACTTCATCTCCAGATGACTCTTATCCTGGCCTCCACTTGTTATTCCAGTACCTCCAAACAACCTGTAGCTCGAGATCCATCTTCTGCAACTTTGCTAACTCATCCATACTGTATGAAGGAAAAGCATTAGGTTGCAACGGCTGTTGATTTAAAACTCCATCTCTGTTAACCTCTTCATTAATTAATTCAACAGGTAACATGCTACACTCTAGCTCTTTTCCCAATGCAACAGTTACAGCTTCTGCTCTCATATTTCCAGGACAACGACTTAAGGCATCTGCGCATTTATTTGTGCGTCCAGAACGATACTTTATTTCCAGGTCAAATGCTGCCAATTGGGCTACCCAACGGTGTTCTGTAGCACCTAGCTTTGCTGTACCCAAATGGGCTAAAGGGTTATGATCTGTATAGACGATAGTATGCCCTCTCAACAAATAATCTCTAAACTTGTCTGCCACAGCCCATTTCAGGCCCAATAATTCTAGCTTAAAACTCCAGTAATCCGGGTAATTTCGTTCGGCACCTCTCAATCCCCTACTGGCGAAGGCCACAGGATGAATCTCACCATCAGAATTCAACTGGTATAAACAGGCTCCTAAACCCTTCAATGACGCATCAATCTCCAAAATGAAATTCTCTCCAAATCGGGAATATTCCAGAACTGGTGCAGATGTCAATCTTGTCTTTAATTCATTAAAGGAAGCATCAGCTTCTGGGGTCCAATGAAAATAGCTGTCTTGTAACCGTGTTGTGCTAGTGTATCTTTTAGCTTTTCTGGATTTCGCCTTGTTACCAGCCAATGGATGCAGTGGACCAGCAATATGAGCAAAACCTGTAACAAATCTTCGATAATAGGACGCTAGTCCTAAAAATGACCTTAACTCTTCTACGTTGGTAGGAAGCGGCCAATCCTTGATACGAGATGTTTTACCAGGATCCACATCTATTCCGGCTGCACTCACTACATGACCTAAATTATTCACTTCACTGCAAAGGAAGTTACACTTGCTCCCCTTCAGCTTCAGTCCAAACTCTTCCAAACGCTCAAACACCATCTTCAATCGTTCTACATGCTCTTCAATTGTAGGTGCAAAAACCAAAATATCATCCAAATAAATAATAAGGTGTGATAAGTTAAGATCAGCAAAAACCAATTCCATGACACGCTGAAAAGCTTTATCAGTCCTTGAGGCATTCTAGTAAACTCAAATAATCCCCAAGGCACCATAAACGCTGTTTTCTCCACACTGTTTGGGTGCATCGCAACCTGAAAGTTACGATGTGCAAGATCCAAGGAAGTGAAGAACTTCGCACCACTCATAGCTTCTAAACTTTCCTCTATGCGAGTGAGGGGGAACGAGTCTCTAACTGTTTGTAGATTTAAACGACGATAGTCTACACATAGACGTAAGGATCCATCTCTCTTACGGACTGGCACTACAGCACTTGCAAAGGGGCTTTTAGATTTTCTAATGATCCTCTTCTCTAGCATTTCTTGCAGTAACTGCCTGATTTCTGGTATCTGTGCTGGTGGTATCCGTCGGTATGGTAACCGGATTGGTTTCCCGTCTTTCAAATTGATCTGGTGGGGAATGACATTGCAGAACCCAAGGTCCATACTATCTTGAGAAAAAACCGTCTGATTCTTATGAAGCAATTTTGCTATCATATCAGCTTCGACCTGATCAACGCCAACCAAATTCACCCCACGTGGCAAAACCAGTCTGGTTCCATCTTTACACAAATATTCTGTACCTGCTTCACTTGGCCCCTCGATTGCAGTCACTTGTAATCCAAACTCTGGTCCATCCTGAGGCATCCCTTTTTCCACAGCTATTTCAGCAATTGTCACTCCAATGAATCCATTCATAGGTTCTGCAAGCACTTCTTCCTTCATATCGACTGCCACAGCTGAAGCTAATACGGTACCAGGAGTTATTACTACTTCTCTCTCACTCTCATTTGCCACTGTAAGTTGGTACACCATTCCATCTCGCTGAGGAAAACCCTCATAAATTTTAACTGGACCTTCTGCTCTAGACTCCACCAGGATATCCATTTCTTTATTAGAATTGTCTATTACACACTCCATTCTCCTCACTGCAAGAGGGGGCAAAACTTCACTTTTACTTCTAGTCTTCAGTTTTAACCCCTCTATTGGTTGTGTCACTTCAGTTTAGAATGCACTATCTACAACATCCCATGAGTCATCATGTACTTTGTCGTTCTTAAACAAAGCTCTCAATGCATTGCACCCCAAAATCACTGGAAATTTTGATCTCCGTTTCGTGATTACCTGGTCCTCTACTACCAGAAAGCCAATCGCTGCTGACTTCCCTGGTAAGGTTACTAATGTCTTTATGTAATGGCAATAGGAATCGTGATGCCTGTAACACCTACAATCTTGATTCCATCTCCGCATCCAAGAGAACCCAACTTTGGTTGCAAAATTTCTCTGTAGAAACTCAGTGGGATCAAACTAGTCTCAGCAACAGTATCTAAGATACACCCGATCCTACTTCCAGCAATTAACAACTCCGCCGTGGGACTTTCTGAAATTAACAATGATTTCAGGTCTTCACTGGTACCCTGTTGCATGACATGCGATGCTGTTCGAACCTCTGGTACAATTTCCGTTTCCGTTTGGTGTTCCTGCACCTGAACCTGTCTCACATCACTCTGTTTCAATGGTAATTTTCCCCAATGTGGACAATTATATTTCATATGTCCCATTTTACCACAATTGTAACACTTAACAGGTACACGGCAATCTCTCCTTCGATGACCCTTTCTACCACAGTTGTAACACAATTCACTCTCCTTCCTTTCAATTCCAACAGGCTTAATGGATTTTACTACACTAACCATATCCTGTACAGTTTCCTCAGTTGATTAACCTCATCCTTCAATTTGCGGATGTCATCCTCATCACCTCGTGACACAACCTGTACTTCGGCTATCTCTCTAACTTTCACCTTGACTAGGCGTTGGGCTTGAAACAATTCTAGAATATTTTCAGGAAGGATTTGTCTTCACTGGCAATTACGATTCTCCTCAGCTCCCGCTGAATTCCTTTGTCTCGGGCCCCTCTCACTAACCTTTCTTTCAAGGTACTATCTTTTAACTTAGACAACGCCTCCTTTTCATCGGCACTGGCCGCAGCCTCCATTCGATCATACAGTTTAATCAATACGTTGCTAAACTCTGTCAATGTCTCACCTTCCAACTGCTCACGATTATGAAGTTCACTACTAAGAGACTGAACTCGTTCTTTTGGTCCAAATCTTAACTTTAGAATATTCTATGATCTGTTTACTATCTTCCTTAACAGCACTCTCTCTACAAAGAGTCTATTCCTTGGCAGCCCCACTGAGATGGGTAAACAGACTTTGAGCTTTATCTTTTCCTTCTAATTTATAGAAAGCACTATAATCATGGAATTCAATAAGCCATTCGTGTAATGAAAGGTCACCTGCAGTGTCTGGTTGTCCTTTAAACTTGCTTAATATTTTGGCTGGCATTGTTCTTGACGTAGAAAGATTCTTAAATGCACCTGTCAATGCCGCAACCATCTGGGCCAAATCAGGAGCAGCCGCAGCACCTCCTACCTCCTCGCCACCTGGGTTAGCCATCCTAAATTATTTGAAACAAAATTATCGAATACACAAAAATATAAAATCAAAACAATGATACAAAATAGTCCAGTCCAATTTACAACAACCTAACTATATGTACACTTTCTTTGTTTCCTGTATGTACACACGCAAAGTTGAGGGTTTTCTACTTGATCTTCACTGCAGCCATCCCACTTCTGACACCATTTGTCGTAGGCCGGGATTTGAACACAGACACACTAGTACAACGATATGGCTGCTGATCTGTATGTTTATTTATTCTGCAACCAACTTAAATTCCAACAATCAAATCACCAGTCTCAAGTAAAACATAAGAAACAAAAGAAAAACTCCTACAATAAACAAACAACTCATTGCAGTCATGTAAGATTACCTTCAATAATGTAAAATCACAACATCAAATAATATTAATAATATCACTATTAATATCACATTAATAATATCATCATAACAACAGTGTAGGCTGCTTTTGAATCTAAGCATCAGGCCTATACTCAAAAATTATATATATGCTACTGTTATTCATAGCATTCAAACCACCAACAAAAAATATAATTTCAATGCAAACATAAAAAAAATAGCTATTAGCAAGTATAACTTGGCCATCCTGACTTACCCAACAGAGGTATGTACAGACTATAATACTTCACGTTCTCCTTACAATAGAGTACCAGACTTTAACAGTTTCTCTTCACCTAATAGGACTCACAGAAATCTTTGATAAAATATACATAACGTCTTTAACAACTCACCTAATACACATTCTAATATAATCACGCTATATTCCTATGCGACACAATAATTAACTATAAGCTTAGACCAACTCGTTAATCATTACACACTAGCTCCATGGGCGCAGCCATTATTATTTTACTTTATTTTATTATTATAATTACTTATTCACTTTGTTTACATATAGCGCCACCATCGGCCGCTCATCGACTCTACTTTCTTAATGGAAAACTGCGAGAGCAACCATGTTCTACAACACCCGATACCCCGTATTCTAAACTTCAACATAATTTATCTTTCTTCTAATAAGTTGCATAATGGATAAAACAACATCGTAACTGATTATCAATAATTTTAACAATATATGATAAACCTTCAATTTCTATGCACTAGCCATAAACAATGAAATCATAGGTTATACTTTGAAAGACTCTCAGCCTGCCTACGACGGCCTAGCTGCACCCTAAAGCAAGGTGACCTACATTAAGATGACAGTTCAACACAAAGTTATGCTTCGAATGAAGGATGCCATCAAAATAAAAACGTCCTTAAATACACATAACCTCATCTAGCCTAACAATATTTACAAGAGGTTACTCCTGTGTGATACAATATTAACAATGATTATGTTCATGTTTACATACCTGTTGACGAAATGCTATAATATCTTTAATCATTCAACGACACCAATTACAACGAATCATACCCAAGCCTCACCCTGTCGTTTTCCGCTTACGACATGGGATGATCATTACAATTTCACGGCTGACCGCATAACAATGAGATATATTCATACGCCGCCCTACATCCCAAATGGGCAGTGTTAATTTAATATATATTCAGTTTACGACAATAGGACTAATATTCAGCAGTCAAATAATATATTAACAAGGGTGATCACACATACGTTCGTAATTAAATCTATTGAGTTGGCGTTGCCTTGGGAGTTTAGTAAAAGTTTATAGCTGCTATATAGCAACTGTTTTACTATGAGATATTCAAAAGAATGTGTTTTGTTAAGTCAAGTTTAACAGTAATGAAAAATCACTTCATTTCAGAAAATAATACTAAAACTCATACTACACGTAGAATATTAGTTATAAAAAGCAAAGAAGGCCGACTGTAGATTAAATAGACACATTTTTGTGTTCACTTTTTTTTTTTTTTACTGAATTAACACAAATGAAAAATTATATTTGGATCCAAATGAATTTATTTCAAGATTCTTAAAAAGTGTTACAAGACCAAAGTCAACGTAACTAGAGTTAAAAATAACTCTAGTTACATTGACTTTGGTATTGTAACACATTTTAAGAATGTTTTAAAAACGTTTAAAAACATCAAAATAACGTTATAATGACGTTTCTGACTGTTATTAAAACGCTTTAAAAATTCCACATATATACGTTTTTAAAACGTAGTATTATAACGTTTTACAAACGTAATAAAAACCCTTTGTAAATGTTTTTAAAACGTGATACAAGACCAAAGTCGATGTAACAAAGTTTATTTGTACGTTATAATGACGGTTTTTAAACGTTACATTAAAACGTTATTAAAACGCTTTCAAAACTCCACAAAATTTCGTTTTATTAAAACGTTTTTTGAACCAAACTCGTACATTTTTATGAGGTTTTTTAACGTTAAATTGTTAGTTGGAATGTGCTACCTGCCAACATACCAGTACTTTCTATGGAGGCATTATAATAATTTTGATCGCTTCTTGAAGATGGTCTTGTGCAAACAATTGGTGAGTTTTGTTGTAAAAACAATAATAATAAGTGATACTTTATTGAAGGGAATGGTAATATACAGACATATAATTGATTGGGATTCAATTTCATCACTTGTCACAAGTTGGTCAATGGTAAGGATTAGACAATGTACGCGTAAAATTAGATTTTATAATTCCATGATATTATAATAGTAAACAAAATACTACATTGTCGTTTTATACTTTTTTAATTAAAGCATTATGTTTGTTACTTTCTTGTTTTTACTCTATTTTCATTTACTTTCATTGGATTTGAAAAACCTACATTCATTAATATATTTAACTAAGTAGTTAACACAGCTTTTTACAGTATTATTCATAATATAATAACTGTTTGTGTACCTTTACAGTAGTGTGTTGATTTTGTGATGTGCAGCTTGAGAGTCCCCTTAACAGACTACATTATTTGGACTTGCACAAAACACCTCATTTAAAATTATCACAGAACAAAAATTTCAAAATACAAGAACTACTTCATGTGATGGAATTTGGTGCTATTACAATATAATCTTTTGTTTTATTTGAATATATCCTGAACAACTTTGTCTCCTGAATTCATCTCAACTGGATCAATAAGTACCAAGAAATTTCAGAAGCTAAAGATTGTCAAAATCGGTAAGTAAAATTAATAGATTGATTCTAAAAACCAAATGTTTGGGTGAGACTTTTTTTAAACCATGTTTAACAAATCTGCCTACTGCAAATATTTATATTTTTTTTTCAATAAAGATAACATTTTATTTTTTATTTTATTCCGCCACGGAAAAATGAAAATTGTAGTAAAATATGTGTTTTTAAAAATGTTTATTAGGCCCTAAACTGCCTTGAAATCGCCAAAGATTATTATAAAATATGAATTTGAAGCATTTAACCATCCTATTTTACACTCACTAATAAAATTGTTTATTCATTATTTATTTTCTCCTCCGTCTGGATGTTTTAGGAAAACTG